CAGACCCCGGAAGCCATAGAAAGTGTAGAAGTGGTCCGGTGCTTCTCCGGTGAGACTGGAAGCAGAAACAGGAAATCCCTAGAGCTCTTGGGTCTGCTATGCTGAGTTAGCAATGAGGAAGACATCTGTCCTGTGAAGGACATCCGAGATTGTCCTCAGGCCACGGCACATGAGCCTGCACCCACACGTGCTAGCATGCACACACACACACACACACACACACACACACACACACACACACACACACAAGCAAGCAAGCAAAGGAAAGGAAGGTGCAGCCACTAATTTTAAAATGGATTTATCGTCAAAATGCATGCTGACATCTATTAACCATACTTTGGCACCACCTGCTGGAGACATTCAACAACTAACTACAAAGAGCTTCTCTACTCCCTGTGTCAGCTTTCACAGCAACTGGGGAGACCCAGCAAAACTCTCAGTGGACTGGAATTCCCCAGAAGAGTCATTTGAGAATTTCACTGTAGGCAACCGTTTCCACAAAGCTTAGTTTCTCAGTCATCTATGGAAAACAGAATAAAATGGAAGCTCATAGAAAGAGAAAAATGGAGTGACAGGTTCCTTTCAAGAATGATGGAGGTGTTGCATACCTCCAATGATCATTTATCACATCAGTAGACCAGAGAGCAGAGACAGGAAGAGTGGGCCATGGCAGCATGCACCTGTAATCCCAGTGCTCAGGAGGCTGACAAAGAAGAATCTGGGAGTTTATGGCCAGTCTGGGATCCTTACAAAGATCTTGTCTCAAATGCAAAAAAGAAGAGAGAAGAAGGGAGGAAAATAAGAAAGAAGGGGAAAAAGGAAGAAAGGAATATATACAATATACTCACCTTGATAATCACTGGAGATGCATTTGGGAAAACTCAAATACATTCTGTTATTAAACAGCAGATAGAAAAATACTCCTAAACCGTCTTAGAAATGCAGGGGCATTTCTAGCATTTGTCCATCTGAATATGGCTGTTACTTTCTCTCCCAAATACATCTACATAGATTTTCTGAATAAAACAATGTTTGGGGTCCATAGGAATGCCGTTGAAAGCACAGTCTCAGGGTTGCTCCAGGGGAGAGACCAGGGCAGCCTGCTCTTCTAGAAGCTGAGTAATGATGGCTTAGAGACTAACGCAGGGCCAAAAGGTGCGCAGCGATGAACATTCATAAAAAGGAGCACCTGGGGAATTACCACCTACCCTGACAAAGTGTACCACCCACCCTGTAACAAAGGTTATCAGGCTTCCATGGCTGAAGAGGCTGGCTAAGTGTGCCACACTGCATGTTCTGTTGAGGCACAGAGAGAGAGCCGTGTCAGGACGTCTTCCTCCACATACGAGAGAGAGAGAGAGAGAGAGAGAGAGAGAGAGAGAGAGAGAGAGAGAGAGAGAGAGAGAGAGAGAGAGAGAGAGGCTGTCTGGCTTTATGTTAACTGCTTCAAAGGGAGACTTACTTGCCTCCTTTTTCTTCTGACAATTGCATTTTAGGGCATTTAAATGGTAATGCCTGGTGCTCTAATCAAACATCCAACATCAAAAATACATTATGGAAGATTCGGTCAAAGGGGATACATTGTTGCAAATAGAATTACCTGTCCAGAAGAAAAGAAGCTGCTGGAGGATATAACAGCTTATTGGAGAGGAACATGACATAGGGAGTCTTTACTATGTGGAGAAGGAATTTAAAATGCAAAGCAGCTCCATATGGTGCATACCTGGATGGTGGAGGCAGGAGGATTAGGAGTTCACACTGAGTTTAGGGCAAACCTGAAACATAGTGGAAAAAAGAGACTCAAGACTTCAAGAGGAGGCTACAGACAGCAGCCTCAGGACCTGGAAAGGTGGCACAGCAATTAGGAACATTTGATGCTCTTGCAGAGGACTGGGGTTCAGTTCCCAGCACCTATGCAACTGTAGCTCCAGTTCCAGAGGATCTGATGCCTTCTTCAGTCTTTTTGGGCACCAAACACCTGTGTGATGCACACGCATACACATACATGCAGGCAAAGCTCTCACACACACAAAAGTGAAACGGACAAATTAAAACCTCAGTGGTTAGAGGAAAAGATCCACATCGACATATGAAGCCAAGAATAGGCTGAAAATAAAATCCTATAATCAAGCTTCAGGAGGTCAGAGACAACAGCTAAAAACAGTACATTTAAGCTTAAAAATGGTAGTCTGAAGGATGAAAGGGTTGCTGATTGTCCAGATGATCTGCTGCAAAGCTCCGGCTGAGAGTTGGGGGCCTGAGGGAGAGGTGAAGGTCTGCAGTTAGCCTACCTGCTTCTCAGGCTGCAGTTGCTGTAGATTCCCAGGGAATACCTCAAGAGCCACTGATTTAAATATAAGTTTTAACAAGCAGATGAGAATGAGGAAAAGACAGAAAATGTTTTTCCCTAATAATGGTCCACTGTAGAGTGTTAAGAATGGTGCATTTATATCTTAAATAGTGTACTTACCTGAAACATTTACAGACAGTTTCATTAAAACTACTTTACCGGTGAGATGGTCTAATCACATTTCTTCCATGCCGCTGATGTGAATGGTACCATTAAGAACATAAGCAGCTATTACTCAAGATTCTTCACTGGGATGCAGAGTCCACATCCTTTCCAAGTTCTCACTAAGAAGTACACTGACCATAAAGGCTTTGCTCCTGCTACATTTCTGCACGTTAAACTCTACATAAGCAAAGAGTGTTTCAAGCCCGAGTGCCAATGATAATTTCCACATCTACTACATTGCCAACCCTCTGTATCTATGGGAGGACTGGTTCCAGAGATACCCATGGGTCTTGAAATCTAGGGATGCTTTATCTCTCACATAAAATGCTGTATGCTTGGTGAATATCCCCTGGCATGCATTAAATCATAAAACATCTATCATACTAGGTAGTTTAGGGATGATGGCAAGAAAACTGGCTATATGTGTTCAGCACAGATGCTGTTGACTTTCTGAATATTTTCTCCCCACAGTTAGTTGAGTCTTTGGATGAGATATTCATAGATACAGAGGAATCACTGTCATCTTTTAATTCAACAAACATGCCATTCAAGCCACTTTCAGAATTGTAAACCAGGGCACAGGATGTCAGGAAAAACCATTATTTCAGTATTCACGGAATTTAATTTTGCAGGTACTATATGCTTGACTGAGTATATTTTGTGATGATTTACACGTTATTCTGAGACACGGAAGTGATACTCAGTTTGTCCTATCTCCTCGTGTAATTGTTATAGCTACTCTACCATTTTGTGAGACTGGCACTTGTCACCGTGGGATCACCCTCTCAGAAGAATCATAGGATGCTGAATAATAAAACATTGTGTTGCTCACATGTGGCAACATTTGAATAATGTACTATAAATATTGGGTGCATATCCTAGTTTACAGTGCATTTTTAAATATGTGATTTCATTTGATACATCTCTCTAATGGAGATTATTGGAATGAGCAGACAAGACAGAGACACAGATTTTGTATACTTTTCCGAAGCCACACTAAGGGTAGACCCAGACTTGAATGGGTATTGATTCTACAATGACTTCCTTGCCCAGCGGTCTGATGATATCTAAAGTCTTGAACAAAGAGACACCCAGAGTGCCCTTCTGCAACATCCCAAAGGAAGTCAAACTGGAGATGCTTAAATAGCTTCAGTAGTCCCTAGGTCAAATAAGGACTGTTCCCAGCTACTGGAGCCCAGTGGGAAAGGTCACTCCTACTTCTAGAAGATGTATTGGAATTAAACAATTGGCACTCACTCTCCAGCTCTCCAAGATACAAAAGACAGACCATTGTCAAAGAACAACCACTTTAGGAATGAAAATAATCGACTGTCAAGGACATGTGCCAGGCATTCCTACACAGAGTGGTATGTGTGAAGGTGAGAGACAGGAGAGAAGGCAGTGCACTGAGCAGAGGTTGAGGAAGTGACCTCTGAGGTGACACAAGAGAAACCAGAAGGCATTCCCCAATAGCCACGAAGGGAAAGAAAATAGGGCATGGCATATGCAAATACCAATAGGCTAGTGTGTGTGTGCGTGTGTGTGTGTGTGTGTGTGTGTGTGTGTGTGTGTGTGTGTGTGTGTGTGTCCCTTGATTCCAAGGAACTAGTAGAAATCCAGTTTTGGTGAACTGGAAAATTTAAGTTCCTTACCAGAAACTCAGAGACCTTGACAGTCTCTCATGTAACCCAGGCTGGCCTTGAATTTATTATGTAGCTGAGGTCCATCACAAACTTCTGATCCTCTTGTTTCCACTGCCTAAGTGCTCAGATATGGGCGTGTATTACCCAGTTTATGTAGTGCTAGGGATGGAACCCTGGGTTTGTGCATACAAGGCAAGCACTCTACAAACTAAGCTACAACCCCAGCACAAGAGTAGAATCAAACCATTGATCTTCCAGTTAGCAGTGTATCTCAACATCCAACTGAGCCACGGACACTGGCAATATGTATTTTGACAATTAAATGTAAGGGCCAGGCAGGGTGGAGCAAAGGTCTTAAACAGACCTCAGCTATACATAGGTTGAGAGAACTGTTGAATGAGGATGGATAAGGTAGTCCAAAGTAGTTAGGGGCAGGAGAAAAGTGTGAAAACAAAAGGATGAGATCTTCAGAATGGATGTGGGTGGACATGGGATTGGAGAACAAAGAAATAATTCCATGAGATGAGAGTGGCAAGCTCTGGAGCTCAGAGCCTGTGGGGAAGAGTGGACCCACAGGGTGGAACCTCAGTCTCCTTAGTCCCTCCTATTCTTCCCCTAGTCAGTTTTTCTTCTTCAACATGAAGAGTGTGCGCTACTTTACACAATTCTCCCTTGGTTTGTTTTTGTTTGTTTGCGGTGCTAAGGATGGAAGCTGGCGCAGCTCACAGGATGGGTGTGTGCTGTCCCATTTAGCACTATACCCACTCTTCATAATTGACGTCACCTTGACCGCTGGATATAGATTACTTAAATTATGTAGATAAAACTGTGATTAAGCCGTCTTTCAAGATACTGCTTTATTTATTAATTTTTTTTACAGCAAAGAGGGGAAACACAAGAAACACACAGATTATTAGCATACCTAATGCACATGGATGCAACTTGTCATGAAGGATTCATCAGTGGGTGTGGCCAAGGTCAGAACCGACAAGGGAGAATTTCTTTTGGCACAAGCAATGGAGGCTGGTGGGGTCTGGCCCCTAACTACTGCTGGAAGGCACTCTGAAGGAGAACACTGACCTTGTGACCCCCCACCCCTCCTTTAATTCACTCAGCTAAAATTCATCCCCTGCTGCTCACATACATCCCTACGCCCAGCGAGTAGAGCCACAGTCACTTTTTAAAGACCAGGAGACACACTATGACTGTCACAATTGGAGAGAATGGACAGCTTTGTGAGATTCATTTTGAAAAAGGAATATCAGAATATGTCATCCTCTTGGTTGTAATATATGTCTGACTCCACAACCCCCAACCCTGTACAGGGCTCGTTCCTGTTCATCCGGGCTACCTCACTTTCGCTCTTCTTCCTTTTGAGCGGCTCTCCTTCCTGCATGTAGGACCTCGGCAAAGCAGGGGTGCTCACATCTGGGAGGCCTTTTGCAAACGGAACCTCCACCCTTCCTGGTTCAGCTGCATCTGAAGGCTTAGCGGTGAGCAGAAGTCGGTCACTCCGTAGCCGTTTTCTTATTTCTTCTTTTTTTGTCTGCAAAGTCGCATTAAAAAAGAAAGAGAAAATGAAGCCTGGTGATTTTATTTTCTTCACACTCTCATTCATATTGTGTGCTACAATCACTTTCATTTGTGTGATTCAACCACTGAGGCTTGGCACAGACCTTGGGGAACCCATGTAGAGAGAGACAAGAAAGAGTTTATAGTCTAGTCCTTCCTCCCAAGGCTACCAAATATGGAGGCAAAATGAAGGAGACTAGACTAACGCTGTGTCCTGGAGGAATGACAGGCTTTGGGTTGTGGACTCTGCTACTTAAAAGTGCAGGAGCTGATCTGACAGTCGTCAGAACCCACACTTGGCTCAGTACCCACCCCTACCCAGGTTGTCCTCCTCCCTCTAACCCCGATTGAAATTTCCTCTAAACTTGACTTAATTCAAGAACTGAACGGTGTTTACTTAGGTTGTACAGATGAAACCGCACATTTCAATCGAGTTCACGGCGCTGACCCATTCTTGCACAGCACAGAAAGAATCTTCAAGAACAAACCAAGTGTGGAGCACAGGAAGCATACAGGCCGTTGGAGGCAGTGCACCAAAGGCACATTTTGTCTTAAGGCTGCCGATGGGCAAGGTCTGGCAGCAGCTGGTTTCGGCAGGCGGTCAGCGCCTCAGACTAGCACCCACCGCCAGCCCTTACCTTTCGGCGCTCCTCCGCCGCCTGCATCTTTTCCTCTATGTCTTGGATTGTGAAATCCTTTACCTCTTTCTTCACCCTGAGCTTTTTCAGTCTGGCTGGTGGCTTTCTCAGTGACTTTTCAGCAGCGTCCACCTGGAGGAAGACATTTTGCTTTTAATGGAGAAGCGATTATTATCCTGGCCTAGGAGATGAGCAGGCGAGAAAAACAGTTTAAAATGCAAATTTCAAAATATAAATTTTCTAGTGGCAAATGAATGCAACAGAAACATGGAATCTGTTAATAGGAGAATTATAGTGTGTGTGTGTGTGTGTGTGTGTTTAAGTCTAGCTCAATGTAAGAAACTCAGTTTTACTTTAGTTAATTGACCTATAGTCTTCAATGACAGCAGTTGATTTCATAATATTCAGTGTGTTACCAATTATTTTCACTTGGATAGAAATTAGCTTTTATTACTTTTTGATATTATGATGGAGAGAGATTATTAATTGTTATTAAGCAATGATTCCATGCTAGGCCTTGCCATTGGTATTTGACAAATATTTTCATGACAACAGTAAAAATTTCCCATTTTATATGAATGACTATTCTTTCAGTAGTTCAGAAAAAATGATAATGACTTTCTAGTTACTCATGTAGTTACAAAAAGTAAAAAGTAAAATCATAATAAAGGGCTATGAACTTTTAACTTGCCTTCTCTTCCAAAAATACAGTTTGATAGCATGAATTTACAATGGAAAATTAAATGCTTGTGCACTGTGTGCATGCATGCTGTACCCCAAAAGACTAGAAGTGAGCATCGGGTCTCCTGGAATTAGAGTTACAAATGGCTATGACATGAACCACTGGTGCTAGAAATCGAACCCAGGACCTCTGGAAGAGCAGCCAGTTCTCTTAACCAGTGAGCCATCCTTCTAGCCCCATCTCAGAAGCCTTTGAAAAGGAATACCTTCACTGAAATCATGGCTCTTTACAACCACTGGATGATTCTGTGTGGTATGAGGTTTTCCACTAGATGGGAAGTGTGCTGTTCGTTAAAGCAAGTTCCCCCAGCCCTCATTTATGTTGGTTTTATGACCTTTGGTTCTTAAGTTTCCCTCCTCTCAGAAGACTTTAGCTTGTGTCAAGTTGACATAAAACTAGTGGGCACACAGGGTCTCTCCCTGTGCCTGGAGCTTACCGATTCTTCAAGACCAGCTGCTCAGGCGGCTCCAGGAATCTGCCTGTTCTCTCTCCTGAGAACTGGATTGCAGTCTTGAGCCACCATGCTTGGCTTTTTACACGGGTACTGGGGATTTGAACTCAGGTCTTCATGCTTACACAGCAAGCACTTACCTGCTCCCCAACTCCTTCTTAATATTTATTTCCTATCATTTTAACTCTCATGCAAGCACAGAATCTACTACTACTACTACTACTACTGTCATATGAAACACAGCTTTTGCTCCAATGGGAATGAGGGCTAGTTTATTCTGAGCAAAATCTGAATTGCGGTGACCTGTACACATGGATCCAGGGTGCATTGAATGATGCATTCTCTCATGAAAGTTATTGCATCATCTCTCGTGGTAGCAGAACAAAGACAGTCATGAATCAGTGTATTTACCAAATGCACTGCTCAGCAAAGCAGGGACATTGGTCCTGTTGGTTTAGACACTATCTGATGACACACTTAGCTTCTGGATTGGTGGGGGCTAGATGTGTCAAGTGTAGTGATGCTTTCCAAGGGTTTATCCAAAAGTGACAGGGATGCCAGGTAGGAGACAGAGGGGAGCAATCTGTGATTATGAGGAGGACTAAAGACAGGCTCTCAATCTGCAGCATTCCAACTCTCCACAGTCACCATGGTCTAATCAATCAGAATGCAGAATCTTTGACATAAGTAGGTGTGGCATTTCAGCTGACTTCAGTTCAAAGTACAAACATGCTTGAAAATCCAGAGAGGACTACAGAAGCCATAAAAATTTGGGAAAGAAGACGAAAGGGTGCTATGGTGAACACAGGTTTTCCATGGATAAGTCGGGATTGACTGTTTTCCTAAGATGCCCCAGTTTAGAAGAGTGATGGTGACTCACTTTTAGCATCTTTTACTCTATTATACTCCAAGGGAAAACACTGAAGGAAGAGGACAGACCTATGTCCAGAGTTTCAGTGTTTGTGACCCACACTGTAGATCTCACTTTTAAAGTACTCTCACACATTTATTCACATTTTTCCAGCTAGGCATGGTGGCACACACCCGTGATCCTAACAGTTGGTCAGCAGACCCAAGAGGATGGTGGGATTGAGAGCAGTTAGGCTGCGCAACAGGACACAGAAGCAAACTGAGCTGCAATTCCCTAGAGCAGGGAAGAGACGCTATTTGAATGCTAGACTGGATTCATTGCACTGTGATACCTGCTGGCATTGTGTCCATTTTAAAATCATCTCCTCTGTATATCTGATTCCTTGGTGCAATTTCTAATGAATCATGAAGCTTTCTAAAATGCCAACTACTTCAAAGTATTAACAGTGTAAGTTCGCAGACCTTATATGATCCCAACCATCCTTCAATCTTAACTGTGATCTTTTCATATTGTTTCCCAACTTTCCCCCAAATGCCTAAGGCATGTTCTGTGTTACACACTCAAGCTCCTGTGAGCTGAAGAGGCTTGGTCTGTGGCCCCAGAACCCATACTGCCTCCTCATTCTGGAGATTTTCTGGAGACAACCTTGCTCTCTTTTCATGAAAATGTATTTCCAGGAATATTTTAGTATTCTCTTTTGCAACAAAGGAGTGTGGACTACAATCACAAATGCTTCAACCCTTCCCATCTGATAATGCACCCAGTTTCGGGTGCAGGTTTGTGTCAGAAGGGGTGGGGCTTGGCTGTGCTGCCCACAGTCATCTAGAAGATTCTGAAAGCATGAGAGCCAAGCCTGATGCTCAGGTCTGGTTTCTGGGAGTTTTGGAATCTTCCTAAGTGACTTACTCCAATGTCAGGTTAAAACCCAGGACACTGAGCAACAAAACACACAGGGCTGTGTGCTGGTACTCTGGCCTGTTACGCTGGGGCATGTGAGTCTAATACCATACAGAGAAAAAGAATTGTGGTATTCCTGTGACCTGTGACATGAAATTCTTCTGAGGGGGTCCTATTCATGCTCCCTATTCTATTCTATTCTATCCAATCCTATCCTATATTAGAACAGAATTAACCTTTAATTCACATCATTGTCATGAATAGATTTCTTCCACAATATCTTATGCTAATCATCCTGTGCACTCCCTTGTTAGATAAAAGTCAGAATTTATTCACCTCTGGTGACTGGCTCAATAAGGTAAGTTGTAATTTTGTTCCCACCAGTGTTTGCATCAAGGAGTTACTGCATCTTCCTTAAGGAGGCGTCACTTAGCAACAGAGTGTTTCCACATGTCTTCCTCCATTTGAATTGCTCTCCCATCTTTTGACATCATTTTCTTTTTTCTGTCCCCCAGAGACTCTCGAAAAAGTATCTCCCCTTCCTTGTTACAGAGCTGTTTTTCTCATATTTTCAAATGCAACCAGATATTTATCATTGTCCAAACTATGGGCCACAGGGTGATAATGTGGGAATGTCAAATGACATTTTACTTTTCTATAACTGTGATATAAAGGAAGTTCAGGAAGGAAGGGCTTGTTGGCTTACAGTTCCAGGTACAGACCATCACGCAAGAAAGTCTTAGCTGCAGGAAAATCAAGCAACTGATCTCATTGCATCCACAGCTAAAAAGAAAAGAGTGATAAACGCTTGTTTCTTTTTCATACAGTCTAGGATCCCAGCCTAGGGAATGGTGCCGCCCACAGCGGGCAGTTCTTCCCACCTCTAGAGACATAATCAAGATGTGCCCTCCCAGGCATGCCCAAAGGTTAGTTTCTTAGGTGATTCTAGATCTTATCAAGTTGACAATTGAGATTAATTATCAAATGGTGATATATGATTCCTGTCTTACCCTCTCCTTTTCCTATTTCCTCTTACTGTTGTTGGCTGTCTGATGATAGTCTGAATGTTGGCAACCTCTCTCCCTTTCTGCACATACTTTCTACAGGCACTGCTTTGTTTTGTGTACTAAGAGTGTCATTTTGACTTTAATCCTTCAATTTTCCCTATACAGAGTAGGATATTAGCTTAAGCATTTAGTGAACTGACCTACAGACCTTGTTGAGGTAGTCACTACCAACTGTTTTCTATAGAAGTTTTATTAAACATCTGCTCTCTACTTTCACCTTTCTGTTTATTTCCTTTTCCATTCGTTTTCCCTCGGGCTCCTGTACATTGCCCCTCCCCCACTCTGCCCAATCTAACTTCTCTTTTGTCTGTGTGTCAAGTGATAACTGGGAGTCTTGGTCTAAAAATAAAGGAACAAACACAATATTTAGTTCTCTTCAGAGTTTTATAGAGAACTTATTAAAAATTTTAGGGCTGCAGACATGGCTCAGCCTGAGTGAAAAATTTTTTTGAGCCTTAAAATTCCTATAAAAAGCTAGACACAGTGGGACACACCTGTAATCCCAGTGATGAGATGGGTGTAGGAAACAGGGGAATCCCTGGAAACTGGTGGGCCTGCCTGTGTGGCAAAGTTCCAGGCCAATGTCCCAATATAGATGGGAAGCATTGGAGGACTGGCTTCTGATGTTGTCCTCTGACCTCCACATGTATGCCAGGCACACACACACACACACACACACACACACACACACACACACACACACACGTGCACTGGAATAATTAGAGCTGGAGACTTCCATTGAATCAGTTAAAATCAGAGGAAAAGTACTTTTCACATTAATGTTGAACAGCAACAAATGAAACAAGATGAATCAACAGAGAACAGAAACAGCACGACAAATTTCTGGAACCTTCTTAGTTCCTCATGGTTGCAAGTGTTTCCATGTAGGCATAGCTGCATTTTCCCTTGTGGATAAACCACACTTTAGTTTTATATTCTACAAGGCAATGATTAACAAAAATGGTCGAGAGTGTGAAAGCTAGTTATTTCCTGGGACTTATTATGTCCAAATTTAGTAAAGCCCAAGGAATGCTTTATTGGCTTCATTAATCATCAATGATTGGGGTGATTCTGCATCCATGGAGAATCATAGTGTGCAGAGAAATAAGTGAATTTACAGAGGAAAAATCTGGCTTAGACAAATGCTATCATTTATACTGTAGGTCCTATATACTGGAAATAATGAGTTGTGATCAATCATACTTTATTGCTAATTTCAAGTATAAGCAAATGTTAATTACAAAATCACTTGCCATGACATCATATGACTCTCCATTTCTAAACACTTTGCTTCGGCTCTGTATGATTCCTTGGACAATTAACTCTTCCAGGATGTCTGATGACTTCGGTCGCTCCCGACTTTCCAGGAGTTGGGGTTTATTGATTATTCCATTGGCCACTGGGTCTTCCAAAAGGAAAAGCACAAAGAAAGAGAGATTTAAGAATAAAGAGTTTATCACTCAAATTCTAAAATAAATTGGGGCTGGAGAGATAGCTCTGTGGGTAAGAGAGCTTATTGCAAAATCACAAGGACCCAAGTTCAAATCCTCAGCACCCATGTAAAATGTCTGGCATGGTTGTCATGCCTACAACCCTAACACTGTAGGGGACAGGGGAGAGAAACAAGAGGACCATGAGTCTTTTTTTTATATGAATAAGACAATTTTAATTCAGCATAACATATAATCAAAAAAAGACAAGCTGCATTTACATAGTGGAGGACCATGAGTCTTGCTGGGTCCAGCAAGAGCCCCTAGGTGGGGAGTGATAGAGAAGGACGTGGGGACATCTTTTTCTAGCTTCCTTTGCACCTGTACATGTTCTAGGACACACAATACACATACGCACCCTTCTCCCACACACACACGCGCACAGTAAATAATTTTAAAATGGGTACCTTATACAAGTCACTGAATCAAAGCCTGTCTCAACACATTTGTCTAAATATCTAGTTTCTTTTAAAACACTTTTATCATTTGTTTATATTTATATATTTTTTTATGTGTGCGAGTGTATGCTCGTGTGCCGCTTTATGAGTGTAAAGGTCAGAGGAGAATCCGAGAGATCTGGTTGTGTCCTTCCACCATGCCTGTTCCGAGGACTGAACTCAGGTTGGTCATGCCTGTCTTCACAGCCCCGTTATCTGGTTTCCTTATCAAGCTCTGCAATCTTTGAAGTTCAAGTTTTTGCTGTCTTTGCAGAGCAAACGCATCAGCATAATCTATTCTTTACGTGGCAGTCTCATCTGAGCAGAATAAAGTCCTGTCCCCGTGCTGCTATGTACAGCCTCTTTGTTGTAACAACAACTCACACACTTGGGTCAGATGACGTCGAACTGCTCCACTAATTGCAGCGCTCCACAGCAGCTGAGGCTGGAGACTCTTCTGAGCTGCAGTTTGGTTTCTATGCTTTGTATACAAACGGTAAACAGTACGAAGTTGCCAAGGACTGTCTGGTTCCGCAACCCTGGTGTACAGTTTCACCATCTGCTAAATCTACCTAGGAAAACCGTACCTTTTAGGAAGGAGCCCTTGAACGGGACCATAACTGGAACTAGAGCGCTATCAGCTAAGATCTCATTAATGATTTTAAAGATGAAGCCTGGAGCCAGTTACAGGAGTGGATTTACGAACTGTACTCTCAAGGCAGGCCTCCACATTGCAAACCATCCATGCGCAAGAACAGCCACCCCCACACCATCAGATCATAAAATAAAGGGTGCAGGCTTGTTGGCACAAAGACGGCTCTGCTTCCCAAGTCAGAAATGACACTGTGCAGAGCCCTCTGAAGTGAGCTCTGCTCAAAAAGTCTACTGTGTTCAGTAGATGGAGCTGTGTTTCACAGCTGTTCCTAAACTCCGTGGACACAAAGACAGCTTTCATGGTGTTTTGTGGTTTGAAAACACATGCAGAGATGGTGCACATGCTGGCCAGCTGTTTCTCATTTCAGACCATTAGTCCACCTGTCATGAGGGTGCTTGACTGAGCGTCACCTGGCACCAGTCAAGAGCCAACCAGCTCAGTACTTTCCAGGACTGACTCTTCAGCCTTGTAGGTGTGTGAAATGCAGCTCTGGCTGGGTCTCATAGAATGTGCTCAAGCCGGGCATTGGTGGTGCACACCTTTAATCCCAGCACTCTTGAAGCAGATGCAGGTGGATCTCTGTGAGTTTGAGGCCAACCTGGTTTACAGAGAGAATTCTAGGACAGTCAGGACTGTTAAACAGAGAAACCCTATCTCAAAAAACATATCAAACAAACAAAAAACAAAAAAGAAAGTGCTCACACATGTAAGCAGACTGGAACCTTGGTAACATGCATGAAAATTCAAAGTACAGGTCACAGATAAATCCTTCCATGGAATAAGAATGATTTTATTGTCATTATTATTAAAAAGGTGGGCCTACCCAGAGTGGGGACACATGCATGTAAACCTAGAACTTAGGAGGTAGAGGCAGGAGAATCAGGAATTTCATGTCAACCTTGGCTGCTTGAGACCCCATCTCAAAGCCCAAATGAAAACAAATGAAAAAAAAAAATGGACTTGCCATGAAGGGCTATTAACATAGTAATAACTACTGGTTATTGTGTGTTTATTCACCTGTACTGCACTAAGCACTTCGTATTCTGCATCCCATTCACTTCAGACACAGATCTGTGAGAGAGATGCTGTTGTCTCTATTTTACCAATTGGCACACTGATAAGATAGAGGCTAATTGCTCAAGGGGGTGAGACTAGTTATGGTGGTAACTAGGACTGAATCCAATTTCAACAGCAAGTTCTCATGCTCACTACTCTCTCTCCTAACTATGATATAGGAGTAGCTAAACCACCAGTATTCCATCTCTCTCCCAGATGTTTCCAAAAGGATGACACTAACATCAAGAAATGAATGTAACCATTTCCAGCCATCTTGTGAGTCTACTAAAATATTTGTCTTAGCCTATATAGCAACTACTGTAGACAGATTCTCAGGAAACTTGTTCTCCTGTTTTCTTGAAACATTGGAGCACATTGGGGTCAGAGTTAAAAATAACCTCATGTTTCTATTTTGCTATGTAGTATAGTACATTCATGACTTCTGTCATTGCTGTGACCAAATAGCTACTTAAGGAAGGAGGGACAGTTTTAGTTTGGCTCATAGTTGGGAGAAGTACAGTCATCTCAAAGATAAGGCATAACGTTGGGAGCAGCTTGGTTTGTGACACTGACTGAGATGTGCAGGCTGTGCTCTGGTGGCTATCTTTCCCCCTCTCCTCTATGACCCCAGCTCATGGACGTCACCACTCACATCCACTGTGGGTCTCCTCTCCTCAGTTCACCCACTCTGAAATCATCCTCATAGACTCAACTGAGATGTTTCTGTCTCAGGCATGTCTTAGATTTACCTTAACCCAATCGAGTTGACAATTGAGATTAGCCATCATATGAAGGGGGTGCTAGATTACCATAGTCAATTTAGAGAACATAAAAACACCCAAAATGGAGGAACAGTGTAGGAAACAGATGCTCAGAATATATCAAAGTCTTAAAATATTAAAAAAAGGGGCTGGGAAGGTGGCTGGGCAGCAGCTGAAGCACTTGCTGTGCAAGCATAAGGACTAGAGTTTGTACCCCAAGAACCCAAAAAAGCTGGGTGGATGCGATACCACACCTGGAATCCCAGCATGCAGGAAGCAGAGAATGGACTCCCTAGAGCCATCTGGCTAGTTGAAATAGTCAGCTCTAGCTTTCCCTATAAGGGAGGCATCAATTGAAGAAGATACCTGATGTCAATTTTAAGTCTCCATATACACACATGCACCTATATGCATTCACATGCACACAAACATTATTTTATCAGCTAGATCTTCTAGAACTGGAGGTACAAGTATTAATGAGTTACCTGAAATGGGAGCTGGGAGTAAACCCAGGTCCTCTGTACCAGCAATAAGTCCTCATAACTATTAAGTCAACACTCTGGCCCCTATCCCAGCTATTTTCCAATCTTAACTTGTAGTGAGAGAGGGAACAACAGGGATGTGGAATAAAAGTTTCCCCCTAAGCTAAAACAATGTTCTTTCCCTCCAGATCTGTGCTGTTCACTTTGTTCCAAATACAGAGCAACTATAAATAAGATGTCATCACTCAACAGCAAAGAAGAGTCAAAGGAAGGGAAACCACAGCATTGCATCAGAAGGACCACAAATAGATTTTAAATAGCACACCAGACCATAATTACTTCTTTTATGTTTTTACTGTGTATTTGCTCATGTTGTCGATGGGGAGAGAAGGAGGGACAATTTAAGGAAGGTTTTATTTATTCTTGCAAATGGAACCCTTTCCCTTAAGAAGATGACAACATAGGGGGGCCATACATACCCTTAAGCCATGTGATTTCTACTCTTAGAATGTGTTTTCCATTCTCAACAAGGGCTCTTGCTGTTGCTGTTGTTTTAAGATGGCTTTAATTACTTCATCCACAAGATTAATGGCTAACATTATTTAATCACACAATAAAGGCCTAAGACTAAATTCTAATGTCTCAGAGATAAGAATCTTGCCATTTAAAGCACACTAAGACCCCACAAGAAGTGATCAGTGGGCCATCAGATATATATACCATATATATAGGGGTCTACGAGATATCTGTGGAGAGCAACAAGAACAGAGGCAAAGGTTACCTGAATTTACTCGTCCATTTGTTTTACTAGGAGCTGGAGAACTTTCTGGAATAGTCCCAGGCAAGCTTCCCATCTGGGCTTGTTGGTACAGACTTTCAGCATTGTCTACAGTGTCCTTGACCCATACAGCTTCAGTTTGGGGGCTGTAATTCTCTTTGGAAGAAGTCACTCTGACATCAGCCTGTGAAAAGAGAACAGCTTGCTGAGATTTCTTAGGAAAATAAGAACAATATAGTAGGGTCTGCTTTGAGAGCACTTACCAATTAGTGTCTGCAGTAGTCTGATTAGTAATCACAGCCTATGGATGCTATGTTACATAGCAAAGTGACCTAGAAGATACGATTTAGTAATGCTCTCAAAATGGCCAGGTTATTGGAATTATTCACGTGAACCCCAGATGCAATCACGGTTTTTTAAATGAGAGACAGGCAGAGAAAGGGTTATGGTTTGAATGTAAAATATCTCTAAAAGTTCATGTATTAAGGCCTGGTTCCCAGCTGGTAGCCCTGTTGAAAGGTGATTGGATCATGAGAATGATAATCTCACCAATGCAATGACTCCTTGATGAGCCATAGCTGAGTGGGATTAGGGTGTAGTACACAGAGGACATAGGTCATTGAGGGTTATCTTGTCTCTAGACCCCCCACTCTCTGGCTCTCTCTCTATTTCCCATTTGCAATAAGATGAGAAGCATTGCTCTCTCAATCTCTCTATCTTTATGCTTTGCCTCACAGCAAAGGACCAAGGGCCCATGGGTTGAAATGTCTGAAACTTCTAGCAAAAATAAATCCTTCCCACTTAAGTCATTTATCTCACACATTTTTGTCATAGTAACAGAAGACTTACTGACATGGAAAGTTATTGATACTGAGAAGTAGGCTCATTACTGTGACTTCTGATTATGTTGTTTAGAAACTTATGAAACTGGATTATGGGAGAAATTTGGAAAAGTTTGGAGATAGAGGCTAGAGAAATCCTAGAATGCTGTAAGCAGAGTTCACTGGAAAATCATGAAGGGAGCTCAGAAGTCCAGAATACCAATAGAAATGCTGATAGTAAAAACTGTTGCCATGAGGTTTCAAATGGAAATGATGACTCCATTGGGGATTAGACAATGGGACATGAGTTTAAATTCTAGCAAAGGACTCAGCATTCTACTCTGAGAGTTTGTGTAAAGCTAAATTTCAAGTTGACAAACTAATCTGCTAGAGAACATGCAAGGGAATAAAACATTCACATTGTGGCATGGATATTTGTAGCATGTGTTCTAATAGGTCTTAGTAATAAAACGCCTGAAGTCAAACATTAGGGAGTGAAAGCTGAAAGATCAGAGAAGCAGAGCAGCCAGTCACTAGAGCCCTTACCTCTAAAAAACCCTCAGACTGAAGAGAGACCAAGTTCCTGTCTCCTCATGCCTATGTTCCTCTCTCCACCTAGATATCTCACTTCCTGTCTAGCTGTATAGACCTCCAGCCCTCTATGGTTAGCTAGTGGCTAGCTCTGCCCTCTGATCTTCATGCAAGCTTTGTTAGAGTATAAACAAAACATTACCACAGATTTTGCTAACATCCTTTAGCCCAATTTGCAGTGAAACCTGGTAGCAAAAATAAGAGCAAAGGGCATATTAAAAAAAACTTGTGATATGGTCAGAAAAGGACAATGTTTGTGGTTGGTAAGGACTGTTAAAAGGAAGCCAAATACTTGGCTTTGAGATAGTAGGAAGAGTACCTGGAAACCATCAGGAATTGGCCTGGTGGCATCCATCAATGGTTCATTGTAACTACTGGGAAGACTGCTTTCAAATGAGAGCTATAGAGAACCTGCCTGTACACAGCCACCTGGAAAGCATTTTTTTCTGCGTTTAGTCATCCATGGACACAGGCATCAAAGGGCATTTCCAAGGAGACCTGGGTACTTCCCTCAGGGAACAGTCCTTAACATCATTCACATGATGCTAGTTTTCCAGGTGTCTAGAATATAAGACAATGGGATGATGGAGGCTTCCACCAAGATTACTAAGGAAAGCCTAGGGAGACAGACAGTTTTGTGGCAGCATTAACATGCTGCATGTGTGCTCCTGAAAGGGCACAGTGAGAAGCCATACGGGTGAAGCCTATACTGTAGTGGAAATTATTGGATGTCAGGAAAATATGAACACGGAACATCTGCTGATGAAATTCCTGCCAGCATCATAGACAGCTAGGACCAACAAAGCTGGGGGGGGGGAGCTGACCAAGTCCTGAGGTCCACATCTTGCCACCACATGTGTCTGATGTCCAACCTGAAGAAGAGAAGTTCAAGTCTGGTTTGACCCCTTCCCATTCCTCTCTTTGGAAAATATGTTCAATCGGTGTGATTGCACATTAGAAGTATATTCGTTTATCATTTTCTTTTATTTTTTATCATTACTGGAAATCAAATTTGGAGTCTTGTATGTGGGTTGTAGGCAAATGTAATACCACTGAGTTACATCCCCAGGTTATGTAATTTTTATGTGGATTCAGAGTTGAGGGCTTGAGGGAAGTCTTAGTCTAATCCAAAGGGAGGGACTGCTAAATAAAAGCCACCATTCTGAGCCTTACTGGGGGGTACCAAGATGAATAAGTTCACAATCATCAATCAGGTGTGAAACTAGAGATACCACTGTTTTAAAAAAGAGTATTTTTTAAAATACTGGTTTTGTAGTTTAACATGTAAAAAAAATCCATTGAAATACCAAGTAATAAAGAAGACAATTGTGATAGTCATGTCTGTATCAACTGGGATAGGCTGTAGTAGCCAGTTTTTCCGTCAAACTGTAATCTAAGTATTACAGCAAAGGTATTTTGTAGATATAATTTCATCTACAACCAATTGACCTAAAGTAGAAGAGATTCCTTAAACCATCTGTGTGGGTCTCTTCTGACAGTTGAAAGGCTTCTGGAGTACACCCGACATCTATCTGAGGGAGAAGAAGTTGTGCCTATGGGCTGCTGTTTCACCTCTAGCCTGCCCTTTCTTGTCCCATCCTATCGAGTTTTGCATAGCTGCCCAGTCTCATGCAGGTATTCCTTTGTCATACATTTATCTTTCCACCCATCAAACCACCTATCCACTTATTCAACCACACATCCTGTTGGGTCTGTTCCTCTGGTAGCATCCTGACTGATATAGAGACTCAGTAGAAGATGATAAGTACCACCTCCTGGACAGAAGCATTAACAACATGTTGGCATTATGACCTCCTTAGTGGATTTGCTCATTTCAAAAGGTAAATTAGAATTTGCCAAAAAGTCAATGAAAAGAAGTTTAGAATGGTGCAGTTATTAGGGGAGCTACAAAATAAAGAAATAAAAACCCACAGTGAAAGGCTTCCCACCCACAAGGTGACTGCAGTGAAAAAGATGAACAGCAATGAGTGGTGGTGAGCGTGTAGGGAAGCTGGAACGTCATGTACTGCTATGAGCATACAGAACAGGGTTTCTGCTCTGTAAAAGAATTGAAGAGTTCCTGCAGAACATTAAGCATGGAACAACTACAAGCTCTGGAAACTCCACTCCTGGGCTTATACACTGGCAAAATGAAAATAATATTCAGCTCAAAACTTGCACATGGTACCTATAATTACTATTCATAATGTTCATAATGTGGAACAACTCAACTCAAATATCTATCAAATGATGATTAGGGAAATGAAATGTAGTGTAATCATGTAAAATATTATTTAACAATAAAAGGAAATTAAATACTGACACATGTCATAACATAGACATTTAAAAACTTTCTTAAATGAGAGAAGCCAGTCACAAAGAGTATTCATGCTCAGACCAGGTGAACTCAGAGTCATAGGTAGGTTCAGAGACTGTGGTGGGCAAAGGGATAGGGTGAGTGGGGAGACTGGCTGTTCATAGGTTGTTGGGGAGGGATATACTAAAAACAAACGACATAAATGACTGTTACCTGCATAGTTTAAAGGGGGAACTGTATAGTCCATGATCATAGTACAATCAAAATGTTATTAAAAATAAACTAGATCAGATTCTCTGTGATTTGTATAGTACATTTTTTCCATTGATGATTTAGTAGAGATCAGACCTCGTTCTATTTAATGGTGAAGAGTAGTTACTTATGAACAATAGTATGAGTTCATTACGTAGTTCACCATGTAGCCATACCATAATTTATTTAGTCCATTCCTGGGCACTTCTAATTTTCCAGTATTATAAGCCAGGGTAAAATTATACTTATTCATATACATATTTATTAACTTATTCAATCATTTTGTGACAGTTCCTAGATGTATTCATCCTAGCTGGAAGGCTATGCATGTTCAATACTGTAGATATTTCCAGAAGTTTCTTCATAAGTACTGTACCAGCTCATAAACTCTACTCCATTGCTTATATAATATGCAAGCTACTGGCACAAGACACTGGTCCCTGGTCTCACAGAAAAGGAAGAAAATTGTAATGGGTTTTCCTTCCACCTGCCCATTGTTATGGCATCATCATCAGCATTGAGAAAGCAGATTCTGGAGAAGAGCTGTTTTAGTTGGGACTACTTTTGTTTTGACGAAACACTATAACCAAAGCAAGTTGGGGAGGAAGGGTTTATTTGGCTTCCATATCACTGTTCATCATTAAACAAAATCAGGACAGGGACTCAAAACAGGAAAGGACCTGGAGGCAGGAGCTGATGCAGAGGCCATGGAGGGTGCCGCTTACTGGCTTGCTCACCTTGGCTTGCTCAGTCTGCTTTCTTATAGAACCCAGGACCAACAGCCCAGGGATAGCACCACCCACAATGGGCTGGGCCCTCCCCCATTCATCACTAATTAAGAAAATGCTTGCACAGGCATGCTTACAGCCCAGACTTATGAAGGCATTCTCTTAACCAGGATTCCCTCTTCTCAGATGACCATAGCTTGTGTCAAGTTGACATAAAGCTAGCCAGACCAAGAGCAATGCCTACACACAATATATAACATGAACATGCATATGTATTTGGTACGTATCACAAAGGAAGGCAAGATTGCTCTTGTTTATTGTCTGTAGCTATAACAACATCACCCTGAACAAAAGTAACTTAGGGGAGGAAAGGATTTATTTGGCTTATACTTCCAGGACACAGCCCATCACTGAGGGAAGTCAGGGTAGGAACTCAAGACAGGAACTTGAAGCAGAAGCCATGTAGTAATGCTGCCCGTGGCTCACTCTCTGGCGTTGGTGAAGGTCTTTGTTTAGCTAGCTTTCTTGTATAGTCCAGGACCACCTGCCTAGGAATGGTGCCTCCACAGTGGCATACAACCTCCAAAATCTACATCAATTAGCAATCAAGACAACCTACCCACAGACATGTTCACAAGCCAATCTGATCAGAGCAACCCCTCAATTGAGGCTTTTCCTCTTGGGTGACTCTAGGATGAGTCAGCTGACAAAGCTATCCAAGACAGACACTGTGTGATGCTTTCCTCTCAGGGGCTCAGAGTTCTGGTTGAACTTGAAGATGTATAAGCCCTATTGTGAGTTCTTTTCCTAGTTTTCAGATACTTAAAGCCAGTGATAGTGAGAGGAGTATTTTCACAAGTTCACTGCATTTTTGTAGACTCACTCTTTTTTTCTTAAACTAGCAATGCACCATGTGACATGTAAGGACTGATTTTGTCATATAACATTTCTAAGTAGAGCTACTGAAAGTGTAAGAGCTTTAACAGCAGTCACAGCAGCCAGAAACATGATGATAAAACACTTAGGAACTGAGTGAAATTGTGAGTGTTAATAGACCAGAAGAGTTGGCTTTCTTTCCCACATTCTTAAACCTACAACTTGGGATAGAATCAAACATACAACTTCAAATGACCTTACAATGGCGTTCACATTACTGGTCTGCTTGATTTGGGATAGGAACTCCAGCAAGGAACTCTATACATTTGCATTTACATACAGGTGCTATTGAGTCCTGGTAGTGAAAGAAAATATGTAACAAACTGAACAATCTTTTAGCATCTCCTAACATATACCAACCTTTGGTTTCTAGAAAGAGATGCTCTTAGGAAAACTAAGAACATCCTTTACATTTATGTCAATTTGTTACATGTTGTAGGAATGTTGGCCCCATTTCATAATCTGGATTGAGATGGCTATAAGTCAAAGACACAGGCAATATCAATAAATAGTTGAATCTGTACACACTGGGGATGTAGGCAACAGTGCTCAGGTCTACCTATGCATTCAAGGTTTATATTTTTACACCAGTATGCATTCAACCTACCTGTTTTGCATAAGAAGAGTACCGGGCAGGATGACAGAAGGAGGGTGGAAGGTTCTATCCTGTTCCCAAGATGTAGTTGTCAAAGCATAGGTTCATTGTGTTCGACCTTTTGCATTGATCTTCTTGTATACGTCAATGACTTGGAGCTAACGTTTTTAAAACGTTTAAGGTTTAACATTAAAAACTTGTAAGTCCTAAGCTGACTGCAATGAGAAAGAGTCACCAGCATTCTAAAAAAAGACACTGGTTTCAACTATAGACAGGTGTGTGCTGTTTGTTTTTTGTGGTGTGTGTGTGTGTGTGTGTGTGTGTAGTGTAAGTACTGAATACACTCCTGTAACTTCT